CACCAACCGTGGACGTGTATCATTAGGTTTCCCCACACGGTACACTTCCACGGGTCGGCACTCAACTCTCACACAATCCAAGATTTCAGTTACACGGTTCTCAAGCTCTTGCTGTCTAACAGAAGGAGGTTTGCTAGAGTTTGACTCCGGAATACCGAATACAACCAAACTGCGCTCCCTCTTCTCTGCTTGAACTGCGTCTGTTATTGTTTGTGGCAGCTTGGTTACCATCGCATTGATATACTTAGCCATAATTGGATCCCTGAGCTGTTCGTTTCTTTCCATCATGGCATTTATTATTTCCACCATAGTCATATTTGCGACCTCTGTGTCGGAAGGACAATTGGCTGGCACACTTTTCACATTAACGGCTTGACGTGTTCGCGATTTGTTCTGTGACATGACCAACTTCCTATGAGGATCAAGGTATAAACTATTGACTCAGCTCTCTTCCTAAAACTCCGCACAGCGTCGTCCAGACAAATAAATCCAGGCGAAATAAGGAAGTATATGAGGTATAGTCGTTAATCGCCACAGAAGCGTCGTCCAGACAAATAACTTCAGGCGAAATAAGGAAGTATATGAGGTATAGTCGTCAGTCGTCAGTCGCTCTTGATCAATGAGAGACAGAACAATACCACGCCGTGTATTCTTCAGAATAATATAAGTAGTAATACACCGAATATACCAAGATAGACAGAGCAACGATATAGCCGACCACTCACAGTGCCGTCGAATGTGCGAATGAATGCCGTCGAATGAATGATTATGCCTTCTTTATTTTCAACGAGCTCCGAAATTCGTCCTATCTTCCATTGGTAACGCGGTTGAAGAGTCTCGCTGACCAGCACCACCTTTCCTATCTTAGGTGCTAGACGCGAACCACGTTTCTTTCCTATGTCTCGTTTGTGCTTTTCTCGCAAAGAAGTAATATATTGAGATTGCCAAGTCTGCCAGAATTTTTCCGTTAAATGGCATGAGCTTTTCAGTGCTCGAAGTACCTGTCCTTTTGTTTGAAGGCTTGCGCGATCTGTTGGGTTGACGTATGTGGGGTCGTCGCCTAGGTCTTCTGTTTCCAGCACAGCTGGTACTTCAAACTCGTTTTGCAGGAAATCTATAGGTCTGAGAACTCGATCTGTATCGGACCCTGATTCCACATACAGAAGTGGTCGAGTGTTCAACATGCACTCATTTCGATAATAGCGTATTAAGCTCTCCACGTGTCGGTGTAGTTTTTCCTAGGGATTTGTACAGCGCCAACTTCACCGACTGGATTAGTCGCTCATATACCCCACCATGCCAGGGTGCGTAAGGTGTAGATCCATTCTATTCGTCGATTACTTATTTTTTTAGCGATTATGTCATTATGCTTCAACCGCTGGTAGCACTCGGAAAGAATGCTTTCTCCCAACGCGTAGGAGAGTTATCGCTTGTTATAGAAGCTGGAGCTCTTCTCCTCGAGAAGAAACGCCGTAACATTTGGGAAAATGACAGCGTCGACGCGTCTTCAACAATATCCAAATGTATCAACCTGGTGACGAGGCATGTGATAATACATCCGTAACACTTGTCGATTGGACTTGGAGATTGGACTTCAGTTTGGACTTGGAGTGGTCCGAATTAATCCAATCCAACGTGTGCAAATGGATGCGATCTCTTTGGTGATGGTAAATGACTTTGTTCGGGGTATTTGTATGGTAAGTTGATCAGTTTTTGGCATTTTGTGCACCGTCGTATAAACTTGGTTACTTCCGCTCGAAGTTGCGGAATCAGTAGTTTTCGCGTACTTGACACATAATATGACTCGTACTCCGGTGAAATTCCTTGTGGCTCTCTTCAACGATTTTCTGTGATAGCCACGACTTCTGGAGAACTAGCATGGGAAACTTGGCAGACTCCTTTGATTCGCTCTTTCCCAATCGTCCACGGCATCTTAGGATGCCACATTCGTCTTCATACAAATTTAGATGATGCAGCGACTTTCGAATCGTATGATTCATATGAGATAGTTGATGTCGTTTGTCTAGCATCTTGCTGGCCATATTTATCTCTCCTCCGCTGAGAGTTACAGATTCCCCGATGGAAGTCTTCCTGAAGATTAGTGAAAGGGTGATTGGCGATGTTCAATTTCTGTTTAAGCGGTTGATCACCTCTTTGATGAAGCGCATCACATAAGCTGCTACGCGCTTAACGGAAGGAAAGCTTGAAAAGCGAATGTTTTGGAAGAGATCCACTAGGTTTTCCTTCGTGTTCGTAAACACACATTTATCGCTAACTGTTGATGTGGCTTCTTCCGAATCTTCTTCTCCGTCATGGGGTTCATATATAGCAATCGGAGTATATATGTATCTCTTCCCAGATTTCCACCTGCTGAGAAAGGAAACTTGGTTGGGCCTTTCCACCAGAAATGTTCTCTCAAAAGCGTTTTGTCCAGTCCTCTCGTGGCACAATCCGCTGGGTTGAGCTGTGATGGGATGTGTCCAAGCTGAACGCGGTAGCCATTTTCCTGCAGATAAGCCACTATTCTCTGGATTTCATGGACGCATAAAGGGTCCCGTATCTGAGTGCCATCTAGCTCTAATCCAATTGAGGACGATTTCTGAATCGGTAAGAATGAGTACTCCTTTTATCGACACTACGGTGTCTATTTGGTGCACTACAGAGCTTGTAAGTCGCATTGCTAAAGTCAAAGCGCCTAGCTCCATTTTGGGTATGGTCATCTTGGCTTTCAGAGCAGAAAGTTTCCTTTTTGCCATCAATAATTCAACACCCTGTTCAGTGCGCAAATAGATGCATGTGGCCATTGCCTCTGCACTCGCATCTGCAAATGTGACCAGTTGAACTTCTGCGTATTTGGAACTCAAACAACGCGGTAGTTCTTTTTGAAATCCCTGTATGTTCCATATAAGTTCTTTCCACGTTGTCTCGCGACCTTCTGGGAGTGGTCTTTCCACAAGTCTTGTGAGAAGACTTTGGCTTTGTGTATTAACGGCAGCATCCATCCCATGGGATCGTATATCGACGCGATAGAACTTGCAACTGTGCGCTTTGTCGTTTTTCTTTGCTCCGACACTTTGCACGTTACTTGTAGCATATCTGTCGTTGTATTCCATTTGATGCCTAGAACCTTTGGGTTTGTTTCGATAGATCTATCTCCGTTTGAGATTGCTTCCATCACTTGAGTGTCATTCGAGACAAATTCTCGTAGATTCATTTTCAGCTCACTAAAAATGGTCTTTGTTTCTGAATACACGCGAATCGCTTCATCAACCGAATCCATAGTAAGGAGAAGATTGTCGACGTACAAGTTCTCCTTCACCTCCTTGACCAGTTCTTTATCACTTGTGTACTGATCCAGGTGATAATGAGTTGTCGCCGCGAGTAGGTCAAAGGTTACGCGTGTGAACCTGAAAATCCTTGCACTAGGAGGAATTTTGTGGTCTCGTAACCATATGCACCGTGTTGCATCTCTGTCGACCTGGTGGAGACGAACTTGCAAGAAAGCTTTCTCCACATCTGAGATCAACGCGACTCGCCCTATCCGGATTCGGAGAATAATTCCATAAAGCTTCGGCAGAATTGCTGGTCCCCGATGTAATGCATCATTCAAGGAGGGAGAATTTTTATAGTGCGCTTATGCGTCGAATACTATTCGTATTTTCGTCGTATTCTTTTGCGGTGTCAACACCGCTTGATGAGGAAGGTAACGTATTTTGCCCTCGACTGGCTCTTTCTCATCTATTACTTCCTCTATGACATTCGAGCGCAGTTGTTCCTGGAAAATGTTATTATATTTCTCCAGGAGGTCCTTATCCCGTTGAAGCGAGGTCCATACGCTTATAAGCTTTCTTAACGCGATGGCTCTATTATCGGGTAGTTTCATTGGAATTTCCTTCCAAGGTAGGCGTAGATAATAGCCGTCGTCTTTCTTCTCTATGGTGTTGACAAAATTTTCCAGCACCTTTCTGACTTCCATTGACTGTACTTCACTTTCCGCCTTGGTAAATTCTTCTACGTCGTCTTGCTCTAAGGACCAATACTTTTCCCACGAGGCATTTTCGTCCGTTTCCTCCATGGGTTTTCCCGTCGAGAACGCGTTTGCTTGAGTTTCCAACGGCCAGAGTTGCTCCCACTTATGGTCGAGGTCGTCTTCTCGATTCTCGGTTTCTTCCATTACTTGGATAATTTGACGAGTTTCTTGTATTTGTCCTGTAAGGAGATGTCCTAGATGAGTTGGTAATAAATGCAATCCTGAAGGAAGGCGGATCTGAGTTTGATCTTCTCGAAGAAGTTGCCATAGTTGGTCACAACCCACCAATATCACCGCTTTCGTTGTTGTTTGCTTACAGTCGAAATTGATCGGACACTCTAATATTTCAAGAATGCGATGCTTCCAGTATAGGAGGAGCTCTCAATGTAGTTGTCAAGCATTCATGTGTGAGAAGCTTTAAAGAATGCGGTTTCCCGTTGCAATCCCAAATTTCCAGAGGTACTTTACGGCTCATACATTCTTGTACGCGATCCGAACCGAATGTACGCAGACGTAAGTTGGTCGTTCCTAATAAGGGTAGGTGTAGCTGCTGTGCCAGTCACTATCGATGAACGAGAATTCCGCTCCGGATTCTAGAAGAACCGCGATCTCCTTCAGTTTTCGTGTGACGGGGTCCACCGCTGTAAGTTTTCCTACTGGTAGGAATGTTTCAGGGTTCCCATCACGCGGTTGTAGCTCTGCGACTGGTTTCACTGTTTCTTTATTATGAAGCACTGTAGCTCCTTGATCATGTTCCTCCTGATTGTTAATTGCTGATGCAGGTTGCGTTTTCGGCCTTGGTTTCCCTTTGTTTTTTGATGAGGGTGTGAGAGCTGTTGAAGAATTTGCCGGCTGTGATATGTTCGTCTTTGTTGGATATCCCGTTTTGAAACAGCAAGAGGTGTGATGCTTCCTTGACAATTGGAACACACTCGACCCTTGCATTCCGCAGTGAGGTGTTGTGGAGACGCGCGAATGAAGCATAGCTTATGCTCCCTCAAATACTTCGCTCTGTCCTGAGGCGTATCGTATTTGGTGCACGCTCTTGATTTGTGGTCGGCTCCGCAATACATGCATGGGTAACTCAAAGCGTTTCCTACGTGTTAAAACTGTCCTTTGTTGTTCCTCTCCCTTTTGGATTGTGCTAGAGTCGACGCGTTATTTTTGGAAGTGTACAATTTAATCCGTTCTTCGCTCGTGATGATGTCATTCAAACCGTTGAGAAGAGTCTGCATGTGAAAAGATCCCTCCATGGAATACTTCTTTTCCAAAACTCTCCTTTGTAGGCTGACTGAGAACTTTGATAACACCTGCTTCCGAAGCAGTTGACTGTATATTTGTTCTCCTTTATTCTGTAGCTGTGATATTACGACTTGGATTTGCTCCAAAAGTACGCGTTGATCCTTGATTGAAGATGAACGCGACGTGGTTTTTTTCCAAGCGGTCAATCAAGCGGCTAATAAGTTCCTCTGAGTTGCCATATTTCTCTTTCAGGAACTCTACCGCTTTGATGTAGTTTTCTTCAGTTACTTGAAACTGCTTCACCGCATTGAGCGCTTCTCCTTTTAATGTTGAGAAGATAATTGAACTTGAAGAGTGGTGGTAGGGGTTGGAAATGAACATTGGTTGAGAACAGAGTCCAAAAATTATCCCAGTCCCATATATTTCCCGCGAATATAGGAACAGGTAATGCGGGTAAGTCGACCTGTTTAGTACCGAGTGAATAGTCCTGCGGAGTCCTATCGTCAACACTCGATCGTTGAGCTTCTTGTTGAGCCCCTATGTTCGCCTTGAACGCGCGTAATCTCGCTTAAAATTTGACTGTGTAGTCGAGTGCCGTACTAAGGACTTCGTCGGCTCGATTGGAGTTCAACTCGTAGTCCTCCGTTTCTGATCCAGATGGGTTGTTCAGTTGACTTAATGCGATTCCATACTCTTGCCAAAGTTGTTCGATCTTTGAAGTGCATGCCTCAATTGCTCCCAGACCTTCGAGGAGTCTATTCTGGCAATCCTTTTCATACCCTGGAGTGCGGGTGCTGTCCGAAACCTTCAGGGCCTCTAATTTCTCCTCTCTGCAACGCGATATTACCGCATCTAGCTTATTGCAATGTCGGATTATCCCACGTTTATAGGAGGAAAGTTGTGTAGTCATTTGTGCGTTAATTTCGAACCCCTGCTACGTTTAACGCGATGAATTTAGATCGATTTTGGGCAAGTGTTGTTCACGCGATTAGTAAATCTCGAATAGATTGAAATCAAATCAATCACTAGCTCCACCACTGTGGATACAAACAAATTACTGACACTATTGTTGCCCCTTTGTTAATTTGAATCGAAAACTCAATTCAAAATTTGACGCGATCAATATCTTCACCTTATGGGTTTCGTATTGACCACGCGTTCGAGAGCTCACTTATGGAACAGGATATACGACTCGATTGATATAGTCACTTAGTGGGTTCAAATGACATACGCGTTCAAACCCTACTTCGGCAATTCGAAAAATGATGACTTGATCAATAATTCACCTAAGTGAGTAAATATGCGTTCAAGATCTCACTTATGAATTGAGATATACGACTCGATCGATATAGCCACTCAGTGGGTTCAAATGAAATACGCGTTCAAACTAAATTAAATTCACTATTACTTATAAGAAATGGCGATTTGTAAGTTCTCGGAGCCCACCTTTTACAAGTCGAGTCGATCCAAATATCACTTTGCACTTTGGTTGATGCACCAATCCGAATATCACTCTATTCGATGCACCAATATGAGGGTGCCTCGATTCTTATTACGCGAGTATTCAAGCCTGCCACGCGGATTTCTAATACGCGACCACAATAACTCGAGTTTCCCTCAAACACCAACAATTAGATAATAGGCTTTATCTAATGGTTAGTAAGATAAAAACATACGCTTCAAGTAGGTGAAGATATGCAGAAGCCAGCAGAAGAGATGACGAGCAAATATACGATCGATAGTGCAATATCGTACAATAGAGAGAATATCCCCGAGTGTCTTACATTCCTGCCCTTATATAGCGCGGTTTCCCGCGCACTAGGTCACGTGCTCTTTGCGCGGGAAACGGTACGATAGGACGGCTTGCCGTCACCCCTACTGGTATCCTCATCTGAAGTAATAACCTGTCACTTAATTATGTCTTCTTCTTCTTAACGGGACAGTTTTATCACAGCGGAGGAATACTGCATTTCTAGGTCTTTAACATCACTCTCTGACGTTTAAGCTGTTCTTAACTTCTTCCCTTTACTTTGGCGCACCTATCCTACCACTACCAATTCCTTTGAGATTTGGCGTTTGTTTTGGAATGGAGGAAGTGTTGAGGAAGCTCTTAAGTGGTGTTAGTGTGACTAGGATAGTGTGAGATTTTGCTTCTGCGGTCCGAGTGGTAATTGTTACTATAATAGTATCTCTCATATCTGTGATAAAACGGATCAGTTTGCTCAACTTTCATGAATTACTTTTTTGCTCGACTCGAGCCACCTCCTCTTAACTACTCTTATCATACTGAATCTGTTTGTGCTACTCATCCCATCTACATGAACGAAGACGTATCAGTAAAGTTTATTTTACTATTAGGTTGTCGGAAAAGTATTTGCGCATTTTGGTTTCCATGTTGTGAAATCTTGGGGATTGCTCTAGAGCCTTCACTGCGGAATATGTGTAAGTGCAGGTCAATGCGCTCTCCACACCATATCTGCCGTCGCATTTCGCAACGGTTATGGCTGCAAGAATCGCTCTCGACTCAAAGCTAGTCAGACTATCTTTTCTTCATAAGTTCAGAAAAAACTCTAATCCAAATTGAGCGACAGGGGGAATATGCGATGCGATAGCACCATTCATTGTCTCTAATAGCATGTCAAGAAGTTGGTACAAGAAGTTCAAAAATGGCCACTTTGACTGGACCGAAGAACCACGATTTAGGAGACTAGCTGAGCTCAATGTTGACTATCTCCTGAAACTGGTTGAAGAAGATTCCAGGTTTAGTACCCATCAGCTGAAGCAAGAGCTCATAGCCATCACGACGCAACAGCTGTCCATTTGCATCGCCTTGGGAAGACATGGAGATTTGGAGATATGGATAAGTTTTGATCTGGGTGGTCACGACCTCCAAATGAAGAGGGATTCATGCCTAAACTTGATGACTTTCCAACGCACCTTCGCATGGCTGGAAGACTTGACCACTGGCGACGAGAAGTGTGTTCCCTTCTTAAACCACACGAGGAAGCGCCAGTGGCTTAGATGCGTAGAGCATGGAATCCCGACCTCCAATCCCGAATTCCTACCTCAGAAGGCAATGTCAAGCGTTTGTAGCCATTCAACAGGATCATTCACTGGGNCTTTCTACCACCGAACTCCGCTGTCAGCACAGAAGCCCAGTATGCTCTGTGGACCGGATTGCTGCAGCTCTAAGAGAGAAACTCGGGAAAGTCTATTTTCTCCACGACAGTGCTCGCCAACACTTTTCGAAGGAGACCCAGAAGAAGCTTCAAACCTGAGATGGCATGTTATGGCCCACCCACCGTATTCATCAGACCTAACTCCAACGGATTATCATCTGCTCCTGTCGCTGTCGGACCAACCGAAAAATAAGAAGTTCGATTATGTGAATCAACTCGAGACGTACATTGACGAGTTTTCCTCCTCGAAACCCCAGGAATTCTACGCAAGCAGGAACCACAAGTTGCCTGGTGAATGGCAATACCTTGTCGATAATGATGGTGCATATATTTGTTAATTGTTTGTTATTGTGAAGGAAAAAAATAAATTCAAAAAAAATTGCAAAAGGCGCAAATACTTTTCCGACAACCTAATATTAAATAATCCTTTCCGACCTACATGCCATTCTTCAAACCACATCCTATATGCTCTTCAGATGGCAAGTGAGACAAAAACAGAGTAGGAGGTATCCTTGACGTTCTTAATGCAGCGAAATCCATCATGAATTGTAGCTATGTTTGTATTGATGTCTTTACTATATATAACGCACTAGCGTCTGTCGGTCAGCTTGCTTGTTTGTTTTTTTTAGTCTGTCACAATTTCGATATTCCCTGGAGGAGTCACCTGAAGAAGGCGGGTCATGTCCGGGGAGGGTTGACCCTGTGGCAAGGCCAACGATAGCACATGTGAGCCAGGCACGACTTGCGGCCGAAATGACGGTGTTGCAAGTAGAACTTCTCAGCTAGTTCTATAATAGCCATGGCGATGGGAAAATGGGCTAGGATTAGGTGTAGGTCAAGTACGAAGATCTGCCCTCCATGGGCAGAACGTTTTCATAGTGGGTGGTGTCTTCTACATAATTACCTAACTCGATTTCATGCAAGCCAGAAGAAAAGAAAAATCGAAGGTTTGAGCAAGGTCTGATGTCTATATGTGCTGTGCATCAATAAGCTGCATAAGCTTTAGCAAAGTTCTGCACACAATGGGATGGCCGTGCATACAGATGGGAAGTACTATTTAAAAAATTAACAACTCTATTCGGAAACACTCTAGAGGGTGACAAAAAGCAGTAAAAGGCTATCGAAGGGATGTAGTCTAACTTCCCGCTGGAATGGACGAAATCAAGGTCGGCATGTACCGTAATAGGTGGTTGAACATGACAAGCAACATCTCGAACAACAACCTCTTGTGGGAAACTAAGCGCTCTGTCTGGATGGCAAAACAAACTACAACACATATTTAACATTGGTTTATTGGTAGAATGCAGAAGCTTTTTTCACTTGCTCAGCCACTCTTCTTCCTTATCGTCCATCTTTCATCCAAGGCCAAGCTGAAAGTAGCACTCTGAATGTAATTGCCTTGCAGCAGTTTCTATCGCAGAAGTGTGCCAGACTAAAAATACAAAATCAATTAACGCGTGCAGAATCTCTTCAGTCTCGAAAAGCAACAGCTGGGTCTAGTATAAAAGCCGTAGCGACTCCACA